AGTTATGAGTAACCATGAAAAGATTCACGGCGCTCTTTCTTATTAATGTAAGTCGAACGAGCTTCTTACTTAAAAGAAAAAAATTTGTGTTTATTATTTTCATTTTAGATGGTCCCTAATAGCCAAACGGCTGCCCGGGAGAACAGATAACGACGTAAAAAACTACTGGAACACTAAGCTAAAGAAAAAGCTTACTAAAATGGGAATTGATCCAGTGACTCACAAGCCATTTTCTCAGCTTTTCACCGAATATGGAAAAATAAGCGGCTTGACAAGAAACTCAAACCCGTTTTTCCAAAATCGTGACATTTTGCCGAAAACAGAGGAATATTCCCCCAGCCATCATGAAATTGTTCAGCCACATCTTTTCAGTGATGAGGCCTTTCTATCTCCAAATGGAGTCACGCGTTTTGCCAATGGCCCACTCGGCACGTGTGGGCCCAGCCAGGCCCAAATCATGCCTTCTTCATCTTCTTATTCTTCTTCTTCATTTGTTTGTAACGAATATGGTTCGGGAGATCAAATGCTACTGTTGGAGAATAATGGTCAAGAAGAGGGACTTACTGATAATTTTAAGGAGGATATAATATCATATGATCATCATCAGTCCATGGAAAAAAAATTATCACGTGACGAAAATTTTAACGGGGTTAATTTAGGAACAAAAATCTCGTCTTGTGACGATTCGTTTGTCGAGACTATTCTGGCGCATGATCTGGAAATGAGGCTTCAGTTTAGCGACATTTTGGATGGGAATTATGATTACTGATTCTATCTGATGGTGCTGCAATTTCCTTATGCAGTTTTTTTTTTCTTTTTTTTTTCATAATTATTCGAGTTTAGGTGGGATTGTGAAGACAATGAAACATTTCATACACAAATGATGATGATGATGATTTGAGTAATTGAGTGTGTGTCTGTTTGTACTTCTGTTCAATATTTGAATATCTGAAATTAAAATATGGACCTTACTTACACGAAAGTAATATTAGATTAAAAATAATATTAATCCAAACAAAAAATGGTTGCAGGGTAAATAAGTCACAACAAACTAAAGGGACCAATATCAATCAATTCAAAACTACAAGTAAAATTTCCTTCTTCTACTTCCTTACCTTTTATTGATATTGCCACACTTTTATATTTTTTGTTTCTTCTATCAAATTCTTAGTTGTATTGCCCTTCTTAAACATACTCTCATTACAAGGAAATAAGAAAAGAAAAGTTGGACAGATAAGGTGATGAGAGTGAACATGAAGATTGTGTGTTCAGTTTTGTCATTTTGCTTACTGTGTTCATTGCTTTCTAGTTTGAGCTTAGCCAACACAAACAACAGAAGGGATATTATTGCATTATCATCGAACATGAAAAACGAAAAACATGGGTTTTTTCGGAAGCTCGATTTCAACTCTGTCAGCAAGAGAAGAGTTCCTAATGAGGCTGATCCTATTCACAACAGGTATATTTAAGGAAAGATCTCAGTTAACTTTTCAATCATGAAACATATGACTTGGTTTATGAAGTAATTATGGTATTTCTGATTCATGTTTTGTTTTGATCATTGTTTAAAAAGTTAAAAACAATGTTTCTTGTTTATTTTCCTTGTTTCAGAAGGGTAGGGACAACTATACTACCACCAAAATAGCGCGACTAAAGTTGTTCATCCGAATCCCGGCATTATGGAATGGAGACGGGTTTCTCTTTTTTTCTTTATTATTATTATTTTTTTTGCAAGGAAATGTACTTTTTCATGTGTATATTGTGAGATGAAGATTAGATCGTGAGTTCATGTATCGCGTTAACTCTGATCGACTTATAGGACTATATTTGGTAAGATGATGCATGCAAGTACTTGTTTATGGTGTTT